ATATATATATATATACATACACACACAATTCTCTCCAAAGAGAGACTAAAAACACAAACAATAAAATTGGATATTAATGATTTTGACGTAACAGGTTTTTAGACTTAAACAGCGTAACATAAAAGAACAGATTTGGAACACAATTCGGAATAAAATGATTCCTTTCTTGATTATACAATGGATATTTCAAAACAAAATGAAAGACATCTTCCACTTTGCCTCTATTGCACACTTTACATGTTCCAGACGTGGTATATTCCTCCAGTATAGCTTTTGTAATCATAACGGTGTGAAAAGCAATTTTAAGTATACATAAATAATCTGCAACACAGAGGTCTGTTTTAAATTGGTTGTAAACTGAAAGAGACGGATAACTACTAACAGAATCTCGCCAGTTTGGAGAATTGATATCTTTACCTTTCTGACTAAAAATTGAGATAAAATACTTATCACCAAAACTTTACGAGTAAAGAATATTTTTTATTTGCAGCGCCCAGCATTATTCTCCTTGCTGCATCTTATAGAATACCACAGTCATGTCGCCACGATGCCAGGTGACACTCTCTGTTGTCAACAGACGTTGGTTACCGTTCATTACGCTTGAATGTCTTCATAGGCTTTCTGGAATAGGCATTTTAAAATCTAATATTTTACCATCAAAATGTACTAAAAACACAAAAGCTCGCATTATATTAATATTGAAAACATGCTTAATCGTCAATTAAAATGTACAAAGAAAAAGTAAGATACATCTTAATTACGTTAGAAATTGGGATCAATGGTTTGTCAGTGGAGAAAAATGGCGTCCGGTTGAACGCATTTTGCAACGATAGCAACGGAGTAGTATCACGTGGTATCCTGACGCAACACAGTTGTACTCTATACTAAAAATGGCAACACTATCTTAAGTACCTAGTTGAACATAAGGATAAAATATACAGCCAATACTTGATACTACAAATAATTCTAGTTGGTAGGAGAGAATTTCTTTCCAGCTCACCTCTAACTGCAGGGTTTAGAGCTGTTTTAAATGAACCCTTTCTATTAACACTCACTTCCGTCCCCCATAGGACATATCTAGTGATCAAATATTTTAAAAAGCACATTAATAGGGAGATGACCAAATGTGTTGAGGAAGTCCAAACATCGCCTTATTTGCCAGAGAAGCTGTGTGTTTTTGAAAACAAAAAAAGAAACATGATGACTTGTTAACACTGCTTTTTTTTTTTTTTTTCAGAAAATGCAATACCAGTTTTGTCATGGTTTTCAGATCCAAGCGATGTAGGCCTGTTAAATCTGCTCCCAATGCTTGATGCACTGAGGTTTGCAAGTGATGTCCGATCTGTACTTAGACGAAATATTCATGTCAATAGAGTATAACCATGAATATTGTATTAACCAGACTGAATTATTATTTTGCATGAAACAGTCTAATTATTTTTTATATCAATTTTATCATTAAAACCCATTAAAATCATGATATTATTACACCTTACTGATGCTATTGTATGTTTGAGATCTGAGATTGTATTGAGAATACTTAAGAAATCATATCTTGAATGATAAATTAAAGCATTTTCCTTTTGCAGTACTGTATATATAAATCGTCGCTCACATCACGAACTAACACAATCAAAGTAGATTGTGTTAGTTTGTGAAATCACAGTAGCGCGTCAAAACGAGCGCGTATTGTTGTCAAGCAATTTTGTATTCTTTACCACACAAAAAGTCCTTAACAACAACAGCGCGTATTTTGGCGCGCTTTTTTTATTTCACGAACTAACACAATTGAATTTAATTGTGTTAGTTCGTGATGTGAGCGACGAAATATTAATGGCTTACACTAAACCAGATTGCATTTACAAACTTTAATGCAATATTAGTGGTGTAGGCCACTTTTCACAACAAGAATTTATCTAATGCCACTTTTTAGAAAATATGGAGATACTGTATAATATAGCTTTAATAACTCAAAAAAAAAATGTTGGTAGTATTTGCTGATATTGCCAGGTTCCAAAAGAGGTCAATGATTGGTCAACTGATCTGCAGTCATTAATACTTCAAGTGTTAAAATATTCCAAGTACTTAAGCAATTGAAGTATTATTACTTTCTGTATCATACTTACTGGTATTAATTACTGCATTGTTTAATAATCACACCTTATGGGTTTATCATATTGATACTGATGGTGATAAAAAAAAGTTTTATTCATAAAGTAAAGCTCAGTTTGTGGTAAATTATACAGTACACGAAGAGACAATCTAAGGCTGTTCATTTTTTCTCATTTAGCATACAAAGTTGCATTGGGATTAATTGTATACTGTATTATCAATAAACTCAGTGGAAAGTACTTTAAAATGGCTCTTTTCACAGCAACAGACATGTAAAATATTATTATGCCCAAGTTAATTTAATTCATGTATTATTTTATGTTTTTGTGTTTGTATTTATTTTAGGATTTCTTTTTTATCAGTTGTATATAATTCTGTATCAATTAGATTTTTTGAATGACCAATTTTATTGATTTTAAGATGAGCTTCCTCATATGTATCACATGTTTCTGAATCTTAGATAAGTTTATAAAAAACAGTCGTAAGAAAACAAAAACTTCCATTCATCTAAGCTATTTGTGGTATTGGTTTTGTTCCTCGCATAGTATTGAGGGTGACAGAAAATAGCTTAGGCATAGTAGTGTTAAATAGTTTAAAATGCAGCTGGTACTTTGTAAGTGTTCAAAATCAATGTAGTGTCATGGAAAATTGCATTGAATTCTGCACTCTCATGAGCAAAATTCTCCTGGCAGCAAATTATAACTCCAAATTCAGAATGTTTGCATACTCTATTTTTAAAATTTCATGTCAACTAGATTGGTCACTGTACGTTTGCAACACAATGTAATAAGATGCTCATTAACCAGTTCCAAAGTGGCTCTCCCAAACTGTCTCTGCATAAAGTGAGGGAAATATGAAAAACAATCTTTAACATGCTATCATAAATAAACAACTGTTCGATAGATATAATCAGCAATCCCAATTCAGTACTCTGGTGTTTGTGACATTTAATTAGTACAACATGGAATGATCAGTATAGGAAGAGGAAATGTTAAAACAAGGTAGTGAACATTTTTACAACAGTTTTAACCGCAATTCATTCGTCTATGCTGTTGTTACATCATGAGGTTACGTATGCATGCACAGTAATCCTATTTTTAGAACTGCTGTAGAACAACACTTTGCAAACAACAAATAGGACACCCAGAAATAATGGAGGAATAATGCAGAGGTAGAGGTTCTAAAATGTATTCTTTTATTTTCATCAAAGAGTACCACACAAAGAAAGAGAGAAATAATAGAAAAAGTTTGAATCCCATACTGCATTTCTGTTAACTTAAGTGTGGCATATTGAAAACAAAACTGAATGATACTATGATTCTCAGTATATCATACTATGATACTATGATTCTATATCATTACGTCAACTGTACAGTATTTAGTTTGAACATGAATGACCTGTTCACTTTCTCAAGTCAACCATGTTGACTTGTGACATTGTGAAAGACATCTCTTTTGTATCGTATTTCAATGTACATTTCTTGTAACACCGGAATCCCAATACAGTTGAACTTGCCTAAGTCGAATCCAAAATGCCATTGAAATATCGTTGTTTGTTTGTACAGGTATTGTTAATTAATGGAAAACACAACAATTTGGCATGTAAAATAAGATCTACTTAGACATTATTGGACTTAAACACAGTCGACTTGACAAGTTTAACTGTACTTTTAAAAAACATTTTAAATTATATGTAGCCATAGTAATTCAATATTTCGTTCTTTATTCAAACATCATCAGGAATGAAGATAATTTTTTGAAAGGGACCATATGCCAGAAACGAGGTAGCTTAACTAACCAATCGAAAGATAACTTAACTAGCCAATTAAAAGTGACCACTTTGTTGCTACCTTTTTTTCCTCAATGGATTTGACACCCAGATGGAAAATGCTCCTACAGTGTGTAGGCCTACCCCTGAAAATGTTGGGAACAAACTGGCCTCCAACGCCATCTTGAAAACATAAAATTAAATATCCATGACTCTAGATGAGCTGCAAGAATGGATTTTGTTGTAATTTTCTACTAAATTTGGCATTACCAATACATTTAAATGGTACTGCAGACTGAAGCGTTTTTCAAGATCTTTGGAGTAGGCTAAATTGCCTCAGAAGAAAAACATTTTTTAATCCGAAATCAGATAATTTTAACAACTTTACGGTGCTCAATAGAACAGAAACTTTAAACTTGAGTCGTCGTCATTGTCACTGTCAAGACATGACCCTAAGGGCTGGGCCAGATCTAATTCCAGCCTGTTCAGGGTGGATCCAGAGACTGTCTCTTATACACATCTAGATGTGTATAAGAGACAGTCTTTTTTATCTGCGAAATTTGGGCCGATCGAGACAACACCGAAATAGGAGGTCCGGGGGCATTTTTCTGTGTCTTAGACGCCCGAAAATAACATTTGAGGCGTTCTGGGCTATCGTTTTCTCTTTTTCTTTCTTTTTTTCTCTTTTTCTTACCTCTCAAAAGGGGGCGGCCCCCCCCCTAAATCCGCTTGTACAGTACCACTATTAAATGATAGGCCTACTACCTGTACTATGTCTGCCATTATGCAAATAAGACGTGGGGTACCACAGAAAAGCATCCTTGAAGGGGACCAAGTCCTTTTATTAACTGTGTACTGTACATAGGATATTGTAACTTTATACAAGATCCTTTATGCTGATGATTGCGCCAATTGTTTTCAAGCTCAAACATTGGTTCTCAGTGGGCCTCTTTCTACTGATGAGAAAGAACCGTCCTTTTAAAGAACCGTTATTTTTAAGAACAGTTCTTTGTGGCATTAGAAACGACCGGGGCCCACAGAAAAGAAAAAAGAACCATTTTTTTTGGCATGAAATCAATATTGTGCCGGGAAATAAAAAGAACCATTCTTCGAAGTAAACCGTTCTTCATGTGGTAGTTTTTAGCTGCTGCAACATAGGATAAATAATGCCCTAATTTGACCAAAGATCAATAGCTTGAATCGTTGAAAATGACGTCATTGAGAAATAATATTGATCAGACTTTGTAAAATATTTCTCACGTCAATAATTTAGGCCTTTTACATGTGTTTACCTGTGGACATGGGGACACTCCCCCACTTTTCAAAGTATCAGGAAATTGTCTCCATGGAACCCCCACTTTCATAATCCAGTTGGGATGGGGTCGGGAAAAGTTAATAATTTTGTCGAGGAGGAGACTGCTTTCAAAAAGCATTTTTACCATCTGAGAGTGCCGTTTACGAGCGTTTAGAGGGGCATATTCATTAAAATTTGCTCTAAATTCTAAGGGAGGGGTGGGGTGGGGGGGCAGATCTCCCGTCTGGGAGACTGGAAAAAGCATTTTTACCATCTGAGAGCTAGGCCAGACGGTCGAAATCCAGTTTGCCAGATTACCGAGACCACTTTGCCGAATCCAGTTGGCGGAGTGCCAGTTTGCCGACTCAAAAACAATGAATCCCAGTTGGCCGAAACCCAGTTTGCCGAATCCAGTTGCTAAACCCAGTCT